TAACTGAAAAACCCTGCAAATATATCCAGTATATTACCGCAGCAGCAAGACTGAGATTTGATAAAATACAAAAGCGGGAGGAGATGGTGCAGGTTCTGTGCCTCCAGGTGATAGTTCAAATTCTTGCTCTCAGAGCACCCAGCTCCACAACTGCAGCTACTGTTTTTGTATGGACCCATGCTCTAGTCCTGCAATGCAAATGGACAAAAGCTGCTCTACCCCCTACAAAGATTGTTAGAAAATCAGACATACCCTGCTGTCACTACACTCCGTAAGTAGCTCTCCCTCAAACATAAGATCTGAGTCTTCTATAAAGATAACAACCTAGACCCATTATCACTTGTTTCTCAGGTTGACATAACACACTGACTTTAGGCTCCTGTTGCCTTTCCCCTGGGTTCTCCCCTCAACTTTAAGTGAAAAATGTGTATAGGTCATCCAATATAAGACAGCATTTTCCAGAGGTTTTAATTTTGCAGATGTTGATGTTCTTACAACCTTTCTTTGGGTTTGAATCTTTTTTTAAATCATCTTTAATTTTCTAACGGATCATCTGACCAAGGTTTTACTGTAATTTCACTGTGAACATGTTCTGAAAGTTGAAATAAATTAATACTTGTTTGTCATTCAACCCATATTTATTCAAACTTAAGTTGGGCTTCAGGTATGCTATAAAGAAGCCCAATATCATAGTCACATGATCATAGAATAAGTTGGGTTGGGAGGGACCTTAAAGATCAACTCATTCCAACCCTTGCCATGGGCAGGAACACCTTCCACTATCCCAGGTTGCTCCAAGTCCCATCCAACCTGGCCTTGGACAATTCCAGGGATGGGGCAGTCACAGCTTCTCTGCACAGCCTGTGCCAGGGCCTCACCACCCTCATAGGGAAGAATTCCTTTCTAATATCTAATCTCACTTGTAATGCAACACTGACCATCCTCTAGGATTCCAGAAATACTCCTGGCTCTGTGGCTTACTTGAGTGTGAAACATTTAAGAACACAAGAGGATGAAAACAGTAACATTCTAACTTCTATGTGACTCACAGTAAATTTGAGAACAACTCAGGTTTATCTCTTGACTCCTGTAGTTCATAAACTCCACTTCCCCAGACATCTTCACTCCGAAGGGGTATCAGCGTGTGAGGTTTTTACTGCTGTTGTATGGACATGTACTTCACAATCAGCTAATTTAAGGCATAAAAATCACCCTCTTAGTAAAAGGTTATTGTCTTTTGAAACGATTTTCAAAGTGGATCATTTCCTTGACTTGGAACCTGATGATTACTAGAAAATTGTGGAGGAGGGAAGATAACGCAGTGCCCCTTTTCACTACCTTGCCATTGATACACAATCTTGTATGAAGTATATCCCTTGAAAAAAGACATAAAAGATAAGGACATAAAAGGCAGTGAAACAGGAAGCTGGACACATAAAAAAACCTCAGCTAATAGTACCAAAAATATCAATTCCAGTTATAATAATGGCTTGACATCAAATTCTGTCCTGGGCTGACCAGACATGTACAGAATGCAATAGTATATCCTCTATATGCTCTCTGGAGGCTATACGAACAGTCATGGAAAATCAATTTGAATACAAATGTAATTTGTTAAAAGAACAGTGAAAATCATTATGTAGGGTCACACTGTCAGCAGTTTGTAGTGAAACAATTGCCATCCAAGGATGCAAAGGCACTTGGTAAAACAGAAGAATCTTGGTCTTTAAGTCTCTGTGATCTTTTCAGTCGTTTAGTATAGTTACTAGAGAACAAAGCTCCAGTTTACCTCTCATTTCCCAGCACTCTTACTCCTTGCAGCTCATTCCAGCTGCAGAAAGAGGCTTTATAGAAACTTCTAAGCCTTAGACAGAGTGAAGATTCCCACTGAAATGGAGAAAAAACATCCTTGAAACAGTTCCTTCAAAGTTTCAAAGTATTTATCTCGGGCTGACAGGACACAGACATAAAATAAAGAAGTAGGTTTGACTGGTTTTGGCAATGTCGATATCATTTTTAGACACAGCACACACAAAAATTCAGCAGCCTGAAAAGTGGAAAAGGATGATACAACTTAGGGATCCGCTTCACTCAAAAGAGAACTCAAATGGTAATTTTCAGAAGGTCCTGTTGCAACACCATTTATCACCAAAACATGGGATATACTAATTTTCTGTGCACTTACAGCATCATTACCATAGCTAATCAGCTTACCCTATGGCCTGAGGTAAATCTGGGGAGTGAAACAGCCACCAGTTTTAATTTATGTTTTCCTTTCTTCTGATCACAGTTTTTACTGGCTGTTCTGAAAGGTATTGGCTTATTTGTCCCTAAAAGTAATACACAGTGGGGACTAAGGAACCTATATTACAGTACATGAGATACATTACATTTCTTTCACCTGAAATAATTTCTTATACTCTGTGTAGTCACTCTGGTAGTTTCTGTCTTGTCCACTGCACAGCAGAACACCATAGTGGCTCTCATTCAAATTTGACCAAGGAACAACAGCAACAACAGCAAATGCAAAAGCTTACAGCTGTTCTGAAATATGTATAAAAGGACATCGCTTATTAAAAATGCACCTACATCTGTCTTGCAAATAAGGGGTTGAAGTCACTTCACCCTTGAAGCCTGGTGTCATCATGTACTTGCATATAAACACATCTCTGAAGATCAGGCTCCTGTTACAGTGCATGAGATTGCAAATTTTTCAGACTGTCCAGGAAGAAGAAAATTACAGTCTCCCGTTGAGACGATTTTTTTCATCGTCATCATTAACTCTCTCAATTTTCTCACCCTTCTCTCTCCCTTCAAAACAACAGCAAGACAAAAAAACCCAGACTTGCTGATATACTATGTATTCATACCAAACACAAAAAGCAAAAGATGTTTTTAGGACATTATTAGTAAACAGGATTTCAACTTCCATCATTACTTTGCAGAGCCCCAATAAGAAAAGCAGTTGGTATTATTCTTTAAGAGTAGGCTTGAAATGCAGATCAATAATGAAGTCTGTGACTTAACTCCGATCTGCACTTGGAATTTACCCCAAAAGGCAGGGAAGAACCACCCACTGCACTTCCACAGATATATATGGTACACCATTACTCTAATGGACTCACCAGCAAGTAGTGTTGAAACAATGTATAGGTGAGTTTTGTATTGTTCAAACCTGCTTTCTGAAGAGTTGGATTTTTTTTTCTTCCTATTTCACTCCTGCTAGAAAATCTATTAAGTTCTCTCTGATCTGAAGTTACCTAAAACTGTGACAATATTGTAAAATTTAAGGAGAAAATGTCCCAGATGTGAATTACAGTCCTACGGAAGCCCAATGTAAAGCACTTATGACAAGTCTAGACTTCGTGGCACACACAGCTGTCTTTTGCTTGAAACAAACAAAAAAACCAAAAACAAACAAAAAAAAAAAAAAAAAAAAAAAAAAAAAAAAAAAAAAAAAAAAAAAAAAAAAAAAAAAAAAAAAAAAAAAAAAAAAAAAAAAAAAAAAAAAAAAAAAAAAAAAAAAAAAAAAAAAAAAAAAAAAAAAAAAAAAAAAAAAAAAAAAAAAAAAAAAAAAAAAAAAAAAAAAAAAAAAAAAAAAACACTTTGGGGGATAATCTGCAGGTACAAGGACACATTGCATAATCTATCATGTGCTCACTGCAACTGTGTGAATGTTATCAGATTTTGAGAAGCCACTGTGCTGAATAATTTAAGGTCTAATAAAATATTCAGTTTTACTGATACACTGGTTTCACTAAAAAAAAAAAAAAAAAAGTGAAGGGAGCAGGTCTAAAAGTCAGTAGGAATACTCATTAGGACAATAGTTGTTCTGTTAAGCTTGGGAAAGGTACAAGCGGGAGGATAAAAAGGTCTCTACACCGGATAGGATCACAGGGAGGGACAGAATATTCGCGGCACAGGGAGATGTTCGGAGCTCGCAGAGGACAAAAGGCTTCGCAGTGGGACGCGGGGGACAAGAGAGGACCCTCGATGATTCCCAGGGGACCCAGGATGATGCTGGAGCCCAGCCCAGAGCCTTCCCCAGCGGGTGTCCAGGCAGGAGTCATAGGTTGGACTGGATGACCTCAGAGGTCTTTTCCAACCTAACTGATCCTGTGATGCTATGGGACAGGCAGCGAGTGATCGCCCACCGCCCCGGGCGGCCCCTTGTGCTCCGGGGAGACCGGTCCCACACCCTCCTCCATTAGCTCGTCGCAAGATGATGTCCTACAACTTTTTTAATGCGAGGAGAGAAAACCCCCATAGCCCGCACTAACTAATTATTATAAATGATAAAGAGAACTCCCAAGAGCTCTAAAGTTATCTTTCTGGGTTAGGGTTGGCTCTCCATCTCTTGGTTTTTTTGTTTGTTTGTTTGTTTGTTGGTGTTTCCCCCCCCCCCCCCTAAAGTGGATGAGACATCCAGAAGGCGCCGTTGGTGTTTTAGGTGAGGATGCCCTAATTAGAAGGAGGCAGCAAAAGGGTCGCCTGGCAAGAGCTGCTCGCTGCTACCGAGATGCTCGAGCCTCCGAACGTGTTCGCAAAGTGTTCCTCGGTTTGCTGGATACCTGTCTCGGAGCTCAACAGCTTCCAATTTACAATGAAGACCGGTGGCTGGGGAGCGTTGGCAGGAGGAGGAAGGGAAAAAGAGATCTGGGGAGCTCTGCGGATATTAAACGTAATCCAGACGAGCGGCTGGGAAGGTTTAAGCTCTCACGGCTTTTCTTTCCCCTCTGTTTAAGCATAGTTTCAAAAACAGAACGATTCTGAGGACAGGTCTGCCTCACATTTCTATTTCGAATGGAGATATTAAATATATATATTATATATATATATATATATATAAATACTTATCCACAGAGAAAAAAAAAAGGAGAGAAGAGACGGTACTCGGCTCGGAGCCGAGTGCACTTGCACTCGGACTTTGCGGGAGCTCCAGTGCTACCCCAATCCCCGGTCCGTCCCCGCTCCATCCCCAGCGCCCTCCTAGCTCTCACCTCGGGCGGGGCGCGGCGCCGCCAAGCTCCCGCAGAGCGCCAGCCAGGCCAGCACCGCGCGGCTCATCCTGCTCCTCTTCCTCCTCTTCTCAGCCGCCTCTTCCGAGGGATGCCAGCGGTGCCTCCGCCCGGCGCTGCGCTGCGAGGATGCTCAGCGAGGGTCCCGTTCCCCCGGCCCAGCTCAGCCCCTGCTCCGATCCCGCAGCCTTTCCCACCGCCCTACGCGCGGCGTGGAGCCTGTCCCGCCGCCCGCCCGCTCTGCGCGCCCGCCAGGTGCCGCCGCGCAGCAAGCATGGCCCTGCCTCCTCCTCCTCCTCCTCCTCCTCCTCTCCCTCCTCCTCCTCTTCCTCCTCCTCCTAGGGGCGGTGCCGCGGGACACACCTCTGCCGCGCCCCGCCCGCGATGTGGTGCAGGATGTGCGATGCGGGATGGAGCACCCGGTCGGGAATGGGAAGCCCTGGCTCATCATGCGGATGCTCCCGCAGCTCCCTGTTTGCTCTCTCTGTACCCTCAAAGTTCCCCTCCCGTGGCTCAGTCCCAGTGGGTACCTGCCCTCATCTATCAGGTTCACGCAGGTGTTTTACCCTCCACGCAGGTGTTTTGCCCTCCATGAAGGTGTTTTGTCCTCCACGCAGGTGTTTTTCACTCCACAGACATGTCCTGTAGGTGCTGTCCAAGTCATGAGCTGCCTCAGCTTAAAACCCTTCCTGAACATCCAGACAGAGAACTCATGTAGAATCATAGTCATAAAATGGATCGGGTTGGAAGGGACCTCAAAGGTCATCACATCCCGTGGTCAGGGACACCTTCCACTAGACCCAGAAGATATCTGTTCTTCCACCTTGCTCCCTCCCCAGGTAGAATCCCTTCCTGCCCATTTACTGAGCGGAAGTTAAAGCAAGAATGCAAGACATGGTGAAATTTCAGAAGCAGTGCAAGGTGGAGGACGAGAAGGTCTCCTGTCAGACTACTAGGCACCTTTTTGTTTTTATCTCTTTTTTCCTAGTTGGGTGTATAGAGCTACAAGAGTGAAAAAAAAAATAAAATTACTACTTGCCCAGTGATTGTCAAAAGTCTCTTCAGACATTCTATGTCCGTAATTTGCATCCCCTCTGCATGCCCTAATAGTAAAAGACCTCATATTAATATTATATTAAGCTGTAATGCAACTACCGAGTGAGAAGAATGTACTGAACAGCACTGCGCTGTTAAGAAGCCTTTCTGCAGAAGCTGCGGGCTGGTTGCATGACAACAAGAAGAGATATCGTGAAATTAGGAGTGGAAACGACCCGTTAAGTCGTCTGATCTGCTGGTTATTTTGGCTGGCACCTCACAGTAGTTCCAGCATTTCATTTTTCAAGCCCTTTGTCTGCCATTAAACGCCTGTCAGTGGCAGGGTGACAGCCCTTCCCTAAAGCTCTGGTTTTACATCTCAGCTCGCAATTAATCACATTTTTCTTTGACATTGAAAGTGTTTTGGTTTCAACACACTGCATTGTCAGTAAAGATTTAAAAGGACCAGGATTTTTTGCGCTGGTTAAACTATGAAATTAACAGAAATAACACACTTTGACAAAGAGCATTTGACACCCAGAATCCCAGAGCATTTTCAGCTTGCATGCAGAGCAGTGGTGCACACACCAAGTGTGCACTGCACCCTTCATGGAGGCACAAGCCTCTCCGGGGGCCTTAGCCAACAGTAGTGGGGTAGTGCAAAATTATCCATCGGGTTAGGACAGACAAAGGAAAAAAAAAAGTCTCCCCTGCATTAACTCAGCTCACACCAATGGAGAAAATATGTTTTCACAGGCTGCAATCCAGCGTTTCTCTGTGGACACTCCACCAAAACTTCCATTGTCTTCACTATGTGCACAGTTCACCTGGCAGCAGTCATGTGGGCTGCAGTCATGCCTTAGTTTGGCTGCACAGACACACCTGTGATTGCATCACTACCTCCACAGCAACGCCAGAGATCTCCCTGAAGAAGTGCTGTCTGGAAGGAAAATACTTCTATTTCTCCCTGAGGGTTGCTTTACCGTCAGTACAGAGATAGTGGAAATTTAGGAAGCCTTAACAAAGCTCTTGATATTAATGCATCGTTTCTCCACAGCAGTGCTAATTTTACTGCTTATCTCTGTTTTACAACCAAGAATCCAGCTGTCATAATTACAAGGCAAGCTGCACTATAGCTGCTGTGGCAGCCCAGCATGCCTGCACCCCCAAGTGGCAGGCTTGGTTGTTTTTGTTTGGTTTTGGGTGTTTTGTTTTTTGTTTTTTTTTTTGGGGGGGGAGGTTGTTTTTTTTTTTTAGGGAATAATCCTGTAATGCAGCCTCTTTATTCCCCCAATTAGGATAAATCTAAAGGGCCTAACTACACTCGGTAGTGGGAAGCTTTTTTTCCATTGAGAGCCCTGTGACTAGCAGCTGATTAAAATGACACAGCGATAGTTTCTTCAAAGCCAAGCATTGTTTATTCAGCCAAAAGGGATGAAACAACAAAAGGCTTTTATGTCTGATTCTTACCTAAAGTGCAATGCCTTTTTGTTTTCAGATTTTCAGTAAGTTTTATTCAATAAAATCTATCCCCCCACATCAGAGTAATCAGACTGTTCCTTCAGCTTTCTTGCCGCCCCTCTCTGCTGGGCTCCTCTTCATGTGCTGCTTCTTCTTGCTTGTTCTCATGTGTTTGTGGAAGGACTTTGGCTGAGGGCTGTTTCGGGAGGTCCTTTTCATCCAGCGCTTTCCTTTAATCATATTTGGTTTCCTTAGCATAGGGCAACACATCACCCAGCTCCAGTTCAGTGCTGTGAGATGGCTCCGACGTGCAGACTGTCCCTCACAAATCAAATGTAGTAACGACTTGCACCTAGGTTTTCTTGACTGGATTCTATGATACGTATAAGCCAAATGGTGCTATTTACAGTTTTAGCCTGGGTTTCACCCAAGAATTCCTTTATTGTTGTGCTGTGGACTCACAGTTCTTCAGCGCTGCATGGCCAGTATTGTCATGAGGGTTGTTGTGGTTGCAGCATTTCCCAGGATTCTCCTCCTACAGTGGCCAGTCCCTGACCTGACCTCGGTGAAGATGCTAACCTAATGTCCTTCACTGACTTTTAAAGTCCAGAAATAGTGTATACTTGCCATTTCTTGAGTATGCTTTTCTTGAAGCAATGGACGCATTGGCAGCAGAAAAACATGCCTTGTGACGGTCTTTTATAAGTACTGTAGGTATGTAAATATATTTTTTATGGGGGAAACCCTAAGACCAAAGGCATCCTGAAGATTCTCTTTCCCTTATTCTGTTACATATCTGCAAATTCTTATTGTGTTCCTAAGAGTAGACATGCTTGGCTCAAATACGGACTAGCATGGCACAAGCCATTGCAGCTGAAGCTGACATTCTCACCTTTTATATCAACATTAATATTTATACTCAACACATAAATATCACTTCTTTATATTTGTTTTTTGATATTTATCTTTAAGGCAAAATTCTTCCTTCAGTCATCTGAATTCATGATGTGCTTTGTGTCTTGGAATTTAGGACCAAAGTGGGCTCAAGACTTGCCAGATATTAACCCTTAATAGCTCTATCATCCTTTTTCTGCCATCCATAGTGTGAACATAGGACATGAAGACTCCTTTTAATTTTTCAAACTGTTTCCACTCTTCAGGACAATTTCTGCAGAGTTTTAATTAGCTGCACTCTACTATCCAACTATTTATTTTATTTGTTTACTAGTCATTTAGGATCAAGGACTCTTGTGCACCCATTTTTTAATGTTCTCCATCTAAATGATCAGCACTTTTTACCAGGAATTTCTGCCTAACAGACAAGGGACCGTAGGGACTGTCGTGGGGGTCTGCAACATCCCTCCCTTAGGCTAAGGAGACCCACTAACCTTCTGGAGTAGAAGGGGTAGAGTGGAGAGACAGGTGAGCTACTGTTTTTCCAAGGCAAACCCCCAGTATTTCAACTGGGAAAGTGCTATTCCACCACTGTTAATGTCCCCAGTGTTTTCCTCCATCTTACTTTCATGAGTAGCTTATTTTTCCTGCATTGTTTTCTGTCTTGCCTCACATGCTCGAATTAATCCTTTGAAGTCCAACAGTATATTAAACAGGAAAAAATTATATCCATTAGAAGTGTAGGCAGCCACAGTGCCCTTATGTAAAGAGACATCAGTGAAGGAACCAAAGCAACAAAACTGAATGTGTGACATGAAGATGTTCTTAGCATAAGAAACAGAATAATGGTTAATGTTCAATGGTAGTGACATCAGGTCTAACACTTGTTGCACAAAAGATGAACCAAGTAACTCCCACCTGTGCTGCAGCAGTAGGAGAGTAAGAGCTAATCCTAACCGTTTGCCAACCTCTTGCTGATTTTAACTGTTATCTAGACAGGGTAAGTGTAACCTGCCAATTACCCTATAACACCTTTAGGGTATCTTGGATACAGGCTTTGTTTAGGAGATTAGCTTTATCACCGCCTGCCATCACAGCACTGGCCAGATTGGAGCCTTCTTAAAGAGAGATCAGGATGGGTTCAGAGACCAGGGCACACAAGCAGAGATTATATTGCCACCTCCATTATAATTAGGGCTATAAAATCCACTGCTGCATGCTGCAGAATTCCCCATAATGTTTTATAGTAATATGTACTTTGTTCTTGGGGGATTTGTCGACACAACTGGTTGCTCTGATTCTTCAAGCCTTCGTTGTGTATTTGAGAAAAGAAGAGATAATACATCTGTCTGTCACCACCACAGCAGCATTGCTAGAAATATTCTTTGAGTTGACACTGCCTCTAAAAAAATGGAAGCAATCCATTCTTTCATCTTTTCCCAAACGCAGACTGATCCCCCCCTTCTTGAACATGCAAGGTTTCCTGTTAAAAGTAAAGGTGGGTTTTGTGGCAGATCTTCCTTTCCTCAAACCTCTCTGGTTCAAAAGCATTGTCATGTAATACTCCATCACAGGAAAGGGAGAGAGGCTGTGCAACACAGGGAAACACTCAAACTTCATTTAAAAAGAAAAAAAAAAAGGTGTTTCTTCTTTCAGTCTTTTGCAGCACAGATTTTTAATTTTTTTTTTTACTATTTATAGAAATAAAGTAACAAAATTAGTGTGATTGATAGTTGGTTTTGATTTCCTTTCTTCTATTTTGGAAACAAACTTTTACTGTCTATAGAGGACAGCATTAAAAGATCCTGTCTAAATGTTTGAGAATGTTTTAAAAT